GAGAGAGAGAGAGAGAGAGAATTTTTAATATTTATTTCTTAGTTCTTGGCGGACACAACATGTTTGTTGGTATGTGGTGCTGAGGATCGAACCCGGGTCGCACGCATGTTAGACAAGCGCGCTACCGCTTGAGCCACATCCCCAGCCCTTTTTTTCTGTATTTTTTATACTAGGGATTGAACTCAGGGGCGTTTGACCACTGAGCCACATCCCCAGCCCTATTTTGTATTTTATTTAGAGACAGGGTCTCACTGAGTCGCTTAATGCCTCGCTTTTGCTGAGGCTGGCTTTGAACTCGCGATCCTCCTGCCTCATCCTCCTGAGCCACTGGGATTACAGGCGTGTGACACCATGCCCGGCTTAAATGTTTTCTCTTTAATATACAGGAATGTTTTCTTGATATTTTAAGCATAAGAAATGTTATATTTACAAAAAGAGAATTTTACCTGAGGGCAAAGAGTTCACCCATTTTCTGCATAACTTCTTTATGAGACAGTTTCACTTTCTTGCCAGCTTTTAAAGCCTGTTTGGGAGGGGGGAAACACACACAGTCAGCCCTTTTTCTGTGGGTTCTTCACCTGTGGATTCAACTAACAAAGAATAGAAGTATTTTTAAAAATTACACCAGCACTGAGTATGCGGACAATTTTTCCTTGTCACTGTTCCCTAAATGGCATAGTCTATTACAATTATTTACACAGCATTTATTTATATTAGGTATTATAAATAGTCTACAGATGATTTAAAGTATACAAGAGAACATGCATGGGTTACATGGAAATACTATGCCATTTTACATAAAGATGAGCATCCATAGTTTTTGGTATATTGAGGGTAGGGATTGGGCCCTCGAACTAATCCCCCATGGATACTGAAGGATTCCAGTAAGTATTAGATTCATCAAGCAAATTCTAAAGGAACAAAATTTTAAATTTACATACATAACTCTTATATGTCAGTCTCCCAAATAGACATCCACACTCACCCCAAGATTTCAAAATCTTATTAAGTAGAAATTTTATGCTTTTTAAAATTTCCCTTTGCTATAGATTATTTTCTTTCTTTCTTTTTATTCCAGTACTGGGAGTTGAACTCAGAGGCACTTTACCATGAACTACATCTCCTGCCTTTTTCATTTTCAGTAGGATCTCACTAAGTTGCAGAGGTTGGCCTCAACCTTGCCATCCTCTTTCTTGGCCTCCTAAACCTCTGGGATTACAGGTATGTACCATCATGCCTGGCTAGTTTGGTCCTGAAAGTCCCCCAAAGGCCATGTGTCTGAAGATTTGGTCCTTATCCTGTGGTGTTACTGGGAAAAGGTGGAAGCGTTATGAGGTGGGGCCTAGTGGGCAGGAGTTACTAACTGGGGTGTACCCTCGAAAGGCATACTGAGAACTTGGCATGTGACACCACGCTCGGCTTAAATGTTCTCTCTTTAATATACAGGAATGTTTCCTTGATATTGTTAAGCATATGAAATGTTATATTTACAAAAGAAAATTTTGCCTTAGGGCAAAGAGGATAGTTAGTTAAGGAGAGTTAGTTATGGCAAAGGTAGCACTAACACAGAAATAGGAAACTCAAGATTTCTAGGCCCTGTTGACAGACCAAAGCTAGTCTAGCAGTCTGGTAGAATTCCAGACTTTCTCTTCCTTTTTCTTTGCTTCCTGGCTACAGAGAGGCGAATAGCTTGCTCTCCCACAGGCTCCCTACCATGAGATGCTTTTTTGCCAAACATCTAAAAGCAATGGATTTGTCCAACTATGGACAAAAATTACACCAGCACTGAGTATGCTCCGAACTGTGAGCCAATATAAACCTTTCTTCTTTATAAACTGATCATCTTAGGTATCTTGTTACAGTAATGGAAAGCTAAAACACCCTTTGTATCAGCACTTCCATGATATACATTCCTAACCTTATCATAAAAACAGGTCCTTTTTTTCCAAGAGTAATTATTGTGTCACCGTAAAAACATTAGTAAAAATGACTTTTAATGCACTTTGTCATTTTTAATATAACTTTATACATTTATAACCATATTGTAAAAATAACTTATCTTTTATGCCACTATATTTCTCAAAATTTAGTAGTCTTTTTTAATCACAAAAAAATGATAATCTCCTTCCTTAGAAAGATTTCATTTTCCTTTTTTGTAGTACTGCGCATCAAATCGAGGGCCTCTTAGCATGCTAGGCAAATGCTCTACCAGTGAGCTACAACTCCAGCACAGTTATATTAAAAATATATTCATATATATAACTTTTATTCAGTTATATTAAAAATATCGTGCCATCACAGTCATTTGAAGTTTTAAAAAAAATCAACACATGAAAGTTCACCATTTTATATGTATTTGGAAGTCGGTTTTGTGTGTGTTTCTGAAGATTGAACCCATGTTTTCAAGCATGCTAGGCAAGCACTCTACCAGTGAGCCACATTCCTAGCCTGGTTTGTCTGTTGCCTAAATTCTGTGTAGCTTTCCTAGTGCATTTTAAAAAAATATTTATTTTTCAGTTGTAGTTGGACACAATACCTTTATTTTATTTATTTTTTTATGTGGTGCTGAGGATCGAACCCAAGGCCTCACATGTGCTAGGGAAATGCTCTACCACTGAGCCACAACCCCAGCCCCATTCCTAGTGCATTTTACTACTTTATTATACATATAGGAAGTTTGTATTATTCTCAATTAGGAATCAATCCTTGAAAATAAGCATAAACTTGATATAATTACCTCTGGAATAGACTGAATAGACTCAATAAATTTATCCAGTGTCACTTCCCAAATAGCCAGTTTCACTGGGGGGAAAAACATGGAAAATTTCTTTATAATATTATTCATGCTTATATAAAATCCATAACTGTACAGTACTTTTGCTGCCATTCGAACATTAAAAGTATAAGAAGCAAATGTGCTAAAAATTGAAACTAAAAATTAAGGATGGTTAGTTATGGCAAAGGGTAGCACTAACGTAGAACAGGAAACTCAAGATTTCTAGGCCCTGTTGACAGACCAAAGCTAGTCTAGCAGTCCAGTAGAATTCCAGATTTTCTAATACCACTTCTCAGAAGCCCAGAAGGTGTGCGGTACCCCTTGACACCCCGAGTAGCTCTGTGCACAGGGCTGGAGCGGGCCTTCGCTGGTTTTCCTTTACAATCCTCAGGGCTATGAGGAAAGCATAGAGGTCTCTGAAGCTTCCCAGAAGGGTGCGGAGGGGCTGTTGCAGCAGCTGCCTCATGCACACTAGAGGCAAAGGAAATTCTTACAGAACTTCTACGGTATTATCAGGGGCATGGATCTTTAAGGAAAAACTTAGAGTAGTTGTGACTCTGGCCCATTCCTGTGGAACCTGGGAGTGTGGTTTTCCATTGAGGCCTGTGCCCAGTCACATGGGCTGGGCTTTCTCTGCCTGGATCAGAGGTACCCAAGTATCATGATCATACAGTCAGAAACGGAAAAGAAACAAAGGCAGTGACAATCACATAAAAAACATTTGTGGAGGAAGAAAGGTTTATCAATGCAATTAACAAGGAATGAGTAATACTACAGACACTACCTTTAAACTTTCTGTATTTATTTTATGGAGGAAAAAAAAAGGATACTAAAGCTTTGTAGAGTGAAAACATGCCAAAATGTTCACCAAATAAACTCCCCTTGATGAAATGAAAACTGTGTAATGCATTCTGCAAACAGCAGCAGTAACTTACCTGAAAGACAAAGGGCATTGGAGAAAGCAAATTTCTCTAGAATGGCATCATCTAAATCCAGCTCCGAATTTAGATTGATCTCCCCTCTGTGAAGTTTCGACTGACCTCTGTGGAAGGAGGGTGGGGGTGATGAAGAAAGTAACTTACAAACCCTTTTTAGTCTTGATGGGGTCTCAGTATGTTGCCCTGGCTAGTCCGTCCTGAATGGTGAGGTCAGCCAGTCTTCTTGCCTCTGCCTCCCAAGTAGCTGGAACTCCCATACCCAGGAATCTTCCAAATCTCAAACACATTTAAAGTTTTTGTTTTGAAAAAAATCACCTTTCTAGGGGTCATTTTGTTAATTTGTATCAAGAGTTTTTATAAATACTCTAAACTATTTTCAAGTTATTTTATTTCTAAGAATTTATTGTATGGAAGCAATAAAAAAATGTAAAAAAAAAATCTGTGTACAAAACATTTTTACTTTAATAGTAAAAAATCAGAAAAGAAACCAAATGTTCAATTAGTAATTTCACCAAACAAAAATTAAAAGGAGCCAGATGTGGTGGTGGGAGCCTATAGTGCCAACACTCAGGAAGCTTAGACAAAGAGAATCACCTGAACCCAAGAGCTAGAGTGGAGGCCGGCCTCAGCAATATAGCAAAACCCCATCTCAAAGACAGAAATAAAAAACAAAAACTCCAACATGTTATGAAAGAATACTTAATATAAAGGGAAAATGTCCACAGTAATTGCTAAGTGCAAAGATGCTGAATGTAAAACTCCACACATTGGAGTAACATGACAGGGAAGGCAAGGGAGGCAGAAGTTATAAAAAACTAGGGTTTACCTGAAGATCTTTCTGGAAGGGACTGGGAGAGCAGAAGGAGGAAGTTTGTGAATATAAACATCACAAGGAAATGGGGAAAGTACAGGGGATCCTTCACAAAAGGTGTGGGACATGAAGACACAGATGAAGGAAGGTGGACTGGGGACTAATGGGAAGGCTGAGGGCACAATCTGCTGACCACCTCAGCCAGAGGGAAAAGAGGAAAGGGAGCAGTGAGCAAGGGTTTTATGAACGAGCCTGGACCACACCACAGAACAGAGGAGGCAGCAGATAGCTAGGGTGATCTTTTTTTTTTTGTACCAGGGATTTAATACAGGGGTGCTTTACTACTGAATCCCATTCCCAGCCCTTTTTATTTTTCTTTGAGACAGCATCTCACTAAGTTGCTTATCAGGTCCTAGATAAATTGCTGAGGCTGGAATTTTCGACCCCCCAGTCTCAGCTTCCTGAGTCACTAGGATTGATTATAGGCATGTGCCACCACGCCTGGCTAAAGTGGTTTTTGTGATGAAATCAAATAGCTGACTCAGATTCAAACAGTTAAGGATTTCATTCCTCCACAACTCTTAAGAGTGAGACAGTGTGTGTGTGTGTGTGTGTGTGTGTATTTGTATGTCCAGGCATATACAAGTGCCCAGCAAGCAATGGCATTTCTCTGATTTCCCAAAAGAAGGGACATTCATGGGAACAATAACCACAAGATTGAGGGCTTAAAAATAAAATTAATAAAACTGAATAGCTCCTCATGTGCGTGTCTCTTTGGTTCACACCTTCACTCAAGAGCAGACACCGTGGACCCAGGCTCCCACTCATTAGGCAGGTGCCCATAGGCCAGAGAGCACTCTGAACTCCATTTGAAAGCCAGTTAACTGCAATTACAGAGTTCCTGAAATGAAGTGAGGCGTGGGAAGTACTTGGAAAACAGTGCCTGGCATGTGGTGAGTACTTAACTATTGCTGGCCATTATTACTTAGTGCTTATCTGCTTTCTGTAGCTAGTGTCTCTTCTAAATTTTCCTCAAGCTCTGCCATCAACACTTACTTCCTTAAGAACCTACAAAGACTTTTCCTCCCCTGGATTCCACTAAACTGGTGACACCACCAGGAAAGAGTCTCCTGAACTATTTATCCTGCCCCAACATCTCATTTTGCCCTTGCTGAGACAGGAAAATCAGCGAGGCTATTGCCACTCAGATCTTACTGGAGACTCTATGTTGGGCTCCCACTTCCTGCAGTCCCCCACATGTCTACAAGTGGTTCTCTTAGATCACCCCTTATCTCATTTCCTTTTTATGCTCAAAATCAATTCAGGAAAAAATGGCTTTACTTTTTACTGGAATAATATGATAGGGTTATTCTGATAAAGGCATATTATTTCCACTAATATTTATTATATAGGTTAGGCTTTGTATTTGTACCAACAACTTCTTTCTTAAAATTAGTATCCATATTCATAAATAATTTATCTTCTCTACTACTTTGTGTAGTTTTGTTCCCAAGTATCCTTTTCATAACTTTGATAAAAAGTTGCTTACTCTATTTTTATGTAGTTAAGCTCTTCATTTTCCCAGTGTACCAATGCAATTTCATAAGGCCGAATTTCATGTTTCTCTAGAACTTGCATTACATGCTTCATCTGGAAGAAAAAGAACATTACCTGGAATAATAATGGCTCCCTAAGTACAAATGTGCTCTGGGGTTAATGTTTGTAACAATGAATAGTTTGTTTTCTACTGCTTAGTTCTTAAGGAAAAGGCAAACTCACTATGTTATTAACCTAGTAAACTAATCAGGATGACATGTTCATTTATTTTCATTTTTGGAAAATACAGATAAGCATAAGGAAGACAATAAAGTTGTTATCTCACATCCCAAAGAATCACTGGTAACATTATGACTTTTATTTATTTAATTTCTAAAAAAAATTGTATAGGCAAACACTTGTAAAAATCTAAGGAACATAAAGGTATAGAAAGTGACTATCTCTGTCACCTGGAATCATAATTCTCAGAGGTAACCATGATTAAACTTGGGGTATAGCCTATATACATTTTTTTTCCTGTGAGGTCTGTGTATATTTTGCTTTCTGCATGAAATGGGATAACTATGCATACGAACATTTGCAATGCTGTTTTCCTTAATGGAGGCACTGCAATTTATTTAATCACATTAAATGTCCATCTGTGGGGGATAATTTCTGCTCTCCACCATTATAATGTCTCCATTCACCATTATTATGCATAAATCTTTGTGGCCTATTTCTTTAGAAACTGCTGATCAAAAGACATGCAGGGTGTTGCTCTGGGAGAGTGTACTTGCTTAGCAAGTGTGAGGCTCTGAATTTCATCCCCAGCATTGTTTAAAAAAAAAAAAGAAAGAAAAGATATGCCTGCTTATATCTTTGATAAATATTGCTAACCTGCTCTCCAAAACAGTTCTTCCAATCTTAGAATTCAAACATTTATGAGAGCACTCAAAAACCACAGAGTGGTGTTATATTTTTGGTAACTTCAGATGATCAATTTATACTTTCTTATATTTGGTGGTCATGTACATTTCCTGTTCCCCAGAATCCCTCCTCTACTGAGCAGGTATCTATTTCATTTTAGCAAAACTGAGATTGTAGGAATCATACTTATTTTTTTTTTGTACTGAGGATTAAATCTAGGATCTATGTTGTAAGGGTCTTGCCAAGTTGCTGAGGTTGGCCTCAAACTTGCAATCCTCTTTTCCCAGCCTCTCAAATAGCTGGGATTACTGGCATATATCACTGCACCCAGCTGAAGGGCGTGGTGGCGTATATCAGGGATTGAATCCAGGGGCTCTCAGCCACCCGAGCTACATCCCCAGCCCTATTCTGTATTTTATTTGGAGGCAGGGTCTCACTGAGTTGCTTAGTGCCTCGCTATTGCTGAGACTGGCTTTGAACTTGGGATCCTCCTGTCTTAGCCTCCTGAGCCACTGGGATTAGAGATGATGTTATGTTGGTTATATTTTCTAATTTGCTCTTTTTTTGGTACCAGGAATTGAATCCAGGGGTGCTTAACTATTAAGCAACATCCCCAACCATTTTATTTTTTATTTAGAGACAGTGTCTCAATGAGTTGCTTAGGGCCTCACTAAGTTGCTGAGGCTGGCTTTGAACTCATGATCCTCCTGCCTCAGCCTCCTTAGTCACTGGGATTACAGGCATGCGCCACTGCACCCAGGTTGAAATTTGCTCTTTTAATTTACCTGTATCACAAACATAAGCAGTTTCCTGGGAATAGATATTATTCCACATGATTTTTAAGAGCTGTAGTATATTTTATCCTATAACTGTACTTGTTTTTGTTATTTATAATCTTTGCTATTATAAACAATGCTTTAAAGAACATTATGTAATTCATCATGCATAATTGTGATTATTTCTTTTGGTAACTTTCTGGGTACAAAATTGCTGAGTTAAATATAAATCTTTGATGTACATCACAAAGCTGCCTCTAAAAAGGTTACATTAAATAAATCCTAATATAGATATTGAAGAAATTATTTTCCGTGAGTGATAAGTTCTTGAAAATTTTATCTAAAATAAGAATCCGTTTAACCAGTTTCCAATAAACTGTATGTGCATTAATCACACTCTGCACTATCACATGTAAATGCAATTCTTTCTTCCTGCAGTTTGCCAGGGGTGGCTGGGATTCTCCACAAATGAGTGTGTGCCCAGAAAATAGAAATGTATAAAACTTAAAAATAAACCAAAATATGCATTTTAGAAGATGAAACTGATGAGATAAATATCACGTAATGCTGTACAAATAAGCTGTGGATTGCCTATTAATTTATCTTTAAAAATCTCAAATTATTAAGTGCTAATAAACAATTTATTCTTACAAAACTGTATTTTTATACTTTAACCTTCACTTATACTTACAGTTTTATCTTTCACATTCCAAAACACAGCAGCTCCTTCCCTGATTTAAAAGAGCAAGAGAATCAGGTGAGTTAAAGGTAGAATAATTCTGAAGCCACGCTTAGGTAACATCTAGAACAAATCCAGAATTCAACTGCAGAAAATATGATTTACTGCCTAATGAGACAATATGGTCCCTAGATGGACTTGCTAAAATACGAAATATTTTTTGATTCTTGATAAATCCTGATTTCTCACAGTTTGCAAAATAAGTAGTAATTATTGTAATATTAATTCCTGTATCTGGACTCTTTCATATTTGGTTCAATGTGGATGCACAGAAATCAAAATTAGGAAAACTTCTGAGACCCCACCTTATTAGGAAGATTCTGCTATATGCAAAGATTATATTTTTAACCTTGTGGAATAAAGAGAGGAGACCAATTATAAGCTCTGACAGCTAACTGCCTCAGTGGAGGAAAGCTCCCACCTGCACAGCGTCTCTGACAGAATGTAAGCTCTAAAGACCATAAATGAACTTGGTTTCATGTCTGGAGTTTCGCATGCTAATCTGTTTTAGTAAATAAAGAGTCATGGCTTTGGGTTTTTGTGCTGAAAAAGACAAGGGGGAAATGGAAGGAAGGTACATAGGATTCATTCACATCATTCTTTTTTTTTTTTTTTCAGTTTCCATAATATGATTTTTTTTCCTTTTTCTTATTGGTTGTTCAAAACATTCACATCATTCTTTAGACATGTCTCAAGCAAAGTGCTTAGTAGATGTGTGGGTCAGTGCTTATTTTAGCATTGGGGATGGAAAAAAAATGAGTGTGATCCATTACCATCCTCCAAGAACTCCAAGCTAGAAAAGACACACCTACACCACCAGGGCTTTAAAAGTTATGCAGAACGTACTATGGGATGTCCAGGAGAGGGACAATTCTCAAGGACTAGCAGAGCTAGCCACGTGAGGAAAACAGAACATGTGCATCAGAACCAGCACAGGTTCAGGGAGGTGGACGTTGGGAACAGGGCAGTGTCTTGGACAAACAGAAGCTGCAGGGTCATGAATTCTGGACATGAGCCTCAGGCTGAAGCAACAGGCAGGAGCCCAGCCCTGACAGGACTCTGTGCTGTGACAGTCTGGGAAGAGCCCCTGGAATTTTAAGCAGGAGAGTGTCATCCTCAGAGTTGCATCATGAAGAACAACTCCACCCACGACAGACCAAAGGAGCAGTGGTGGGCTGAGCAGGCGGGTAGGGAGGCCAGTGAGTACGCTGGTGTAACGGGTCAGGGTGGGGTCTCAGGACACAGCGCTGAAGCAAAGCTACAACCACAGTACTGGTTCAGATGTGCAGATGTGCACCTCTCCATCTGTGCACTACAGTGCCCAGAAGCCACCTGGAGCAATGGAGCACTTGGAACATGCCTGAGATGAGCTCCAAGTGTGAAATTCACCACTGAATTCAAATGCTAGGGTGCAGTTTGGCTCTAAAAGCTCCTCCAAAGGCCCTGTGATAAGTGCTTCATCCCTAGTGGATGGGAGGTAGTGGAAACAGCCCCAGAGGCGGGGCCTAGCTGGAGGAAGCAGGTCACTGGGAGTGTGCCTTGGGAGGGTGTATCTGGCCCCCAGACCCTTCCGTCACAGTCTGCTTCCTGGCCACCTTGAGGTGGCAGCTTTGCTCCCTTTTTTTTTTCATTTTAAAAACTGTGATAACTAGAAAACACAGCATCACGTGTGAGGCTTCAGCACATCTCCCCTGGACAGTGCTGATCTAGGCCCTCAGCAATCTACACTTTCCACTTTCAGGCATAGGACTGCTGTCATTCTACTTGGGCTAAATGTTGAAATCCTGATTATCTCTAATGGTAGGGTCAAATGGAAGGCAGCATCTATGTGAACAAAAATAAGGCTTCTTGTTTTCAACACCCCTAAGGACTAAGATCACAAAACCCTCAATCAAACTTCAGATTTTTTTTGGAAAAGGTCTCACTATGTTGCTTAAGCTGGTCTTGAACTCTTGAATTTCTGGGCTCAAAAAACCCTTCTATCTCATTCTCTAGAGTAGCGAGTGCTGTGGTGTCTTGCCCATCTTCAAGTTTGAATTCTTATAGATTTTCCACAAGTTTCTGCTCTGCCACCTATGAGTCTCACGATCCTGGGTAATTCACTGAGTCTGTCTGACCCTCCGCTTTCTTGGCAGTAAGATGGGAATAACAGACCTTCCTCAAGTGTGGGGAGATTTTTTTAAAAAATATGGTTTCTATTATTATTATCATTCAACTACTCCACTGTATTTGGTATCAAGATAGTCTCTACATAAAAGGAGTAAGTATATGTGTGTCAGGGTCCCTGTCTGAAGTCTCTGGAGAGGTAAGACAGGCTAAAAATTTAGATGAAAAGCCACAAAAAAGGAAGAAAGAAAAGGAAGGAAGAACAGCAGGGGAGGTGGCATGAGTCCTGCACAGGCACTGAGATGACCAGGAGACAGGTACTTCACCTAAACCCCAGTGAATATCCACATTTACAAATAGAGACAAAGCAGGAGAAGACTAGTAGTTAGTCTTTTTTTTTGGGGGGGGGGACAGAGGATTGAACTCTACCCTGAGCCACACCCTCAGCCCCTATTTACTGGTTTTTAAATTTGTTTATTTTGCTGAGCACAGTGGTGCATACTTATAATCCCAGCAATTTTGTGGGATAAAGCATGAGGACAGCAAGTTCAAAGCGAGCCTGAGCAACTTAGAGGCCTAAGCAATTCAGTGATACAAAATAAAAAATAGAGAGGGCTGGGGATGTGGCTCAGTGGTTAAGTGCCCCTGGGTTCAACCCTGGTACCAAAACAAAACAAAACTTTTCCAAGAGGATTTGCCAGAGGATTCCAGATCTGCTAGATGAAGAAAGAATCAGATGATTGGGTTAGGGATATAGCTCAGTTGGTAGAGTGCTTGCCTTGTATGCACAAGGCCCTGGGTTCAATCCCCAGCACCACCAAAAAAGAGAAAACAAGATTCTGGTCACAAATACATTTTGAACACATGTTCTGTTATGAGAGGTACATGAACCTTTAAAGACTATAGGGACTTGGTCAGGAACTCATTTGCCAACAGGGTTTCCTTCCTGTGTTACCTGAAGAAGAATATTGTTCCAGGATCACCTTCTTTTGCAGAACTTTCCACACCCATCACCAAAATATTTGCTGCATCTGTGATTTAAAATAATAACAACAACAACAAAACAAGGTCACAAAGTGACACAAGTTTAAAAGTCATCTGTAAATTTTTACAGAAGTACTTATGACGACTTTGTACACCAAGGAGACTCAGAACTACAACTAGAGTTATCTGCAACTATTTTAAAAATTTAAACCTTTTAAATATTATTAAATACATACCAATATTCATTACTCAGTAGTTAATTTACATATTAGTACAGTAATATTCCTTGTAAGTAAATGAATTTTCTGTAATACATTATAAGTAATATTAACATAACAATTAAGATACTATTAGTTATTTACAAACAGTTGTATACAGTTTCCCAATTCTGCAATGCCCAGAGCCACACTGCCGACAGCCTTCAGTGCCCACCATGAATAACCCTAAGCAACTTTTTATCTTAGGGGCTCTGGACATGGCTCTATTAATTCTAATTCTTTTTGTTATCCAACAGCACAAACACTCTGTTGAGGTCACCAAAGCTGAAAAAGCAAGACATTCAACTATTTTTTATGTCAATCTATGAGTCTTTAACAAAGAATTTTCTCTGTAGCAGAAAAGTTTTCAACCCTGATATTTTTGCTGCTCTGAAGGAAACTCAAATTTTCTCAGTAGTGGACTATCTTGAGAATCACTGTAAAATTTTCTCCCATCAAAATGTTCTAAGTTATTCATTTTTAAATGTAAAACAGGATATCTTCTCAAGAATCCTACCTGAAACTATCCTAAAATCCTCACTTGTTAATTTTCTTCTTTTTTATACTATATTATATTTTCACTAATTTTGTTGAAGTATTAGACTGGTAATTTATTTACTTGGTTTTGGTATTTGTGGATCAGTGGATGCTTTACCACTGAGCTATATCCTCAGCCCCTTTTCTAATTTTTTTTTTAATTGAGGCAAGGTTCTCACTAATGGACTGATGAATTTTTTTAAAAGGCCCTTCCACCAATTTCATGGTTTTATAATGCTAAAATAACTTTTTAATGTGACAAAAAAGAAGTAGCATGGGGCTTTGATTTGGGTAAGCATCCACCAAAGGTTTGGTCTTCAGCCCATGATATTATTAGAATGCTGGAACCTTAGGAGATGGGCCTGATGGGAGGAGGTTAGGTCACTGCAGGTATGCTCTTGAAAAGGATACTGGCCCTTCTTCTTCCTCTCTTTTCTTCTCACCTTCCCAGGTTCAAGAAGAAGTACCAGCTGTCATGAGTGAGCAGCTGATTCCACATGATCCCACCATGACGTGCCGTCTCATCACAGGTCCAAAAGCAATGGCCCAACTGACCTCAGACTAAAACCTCTTAAGTATGGGCCAAAATAAGCCTTTTCTCTTATTATGTTGATATATTTCTAGCATTTGTTATAGCGAAAGACAGATGACTACCACACACAGCCTTTGATCTTCCCAAGTAATAGTGATCTCATGAATAAATTTAATCTGAGAACCAAATGCTCTATAAACACAATTTCTTTATAAAGACATCTGATATCACTTTTATGATTACAATCCTTTCAACAAAGTGAAATGCTAACAAATGCATACTTAGGACAATATCACAGGAAAATTATTTTCTAATACATTTTAACATACTTGGCCCCAGGTTCAAGCAAAGTACCTCTAGGCAAGCTTGTTACTTCAATGTATCCATGGGCGACCAGCTCTTGAGACAGATTTCCCAGATGGTACTCGTCTGCTGTGGCAAATGCTGTGCAGTGCATCAGGTTCTGTGAGCACAAGGTGGGTTACCAAGAGGCTCAACATCTGTGATGGCTACTGTGTCCCTAACTTAGGGGACCTCATTTGGCAAAGCCAGAACTCAAGTTTTCTTCAAAACATCTCAAAAGTTCATACAAGAGAAGGGATAAGTATGAAGACAAAGAAGTTAGAGAGACAAATATCAGCTCATTGACAGAAGCATTTGCTTCTGCTAGCCAAAAAAAAAGGAATAATGATCCTGAAAGGGAAGCCGTGCTCCAACTGGCAGTGTCTGAAGCAGCCCGAGCAGCTTTCCAACCCAGAGTTTCTGACTCTTTCACAACATTAGTATTTGATGTCCTTAAAATCCACAGAATTATAATATCTTTATTCTGGCTAATAGTAAACAAAAAAAAAAATCTGCAACTCTGAGAACATGTCCTGTGTCGTCAGTGCTTTGCTGGGGGTCCTGTCTGTACAGACATGTAGATACCTGTGTGTCCATACCAAGTATACACGGTAAGCAATTTGCAGTGATGGTCCAAACTAGCGGGAGGAAGTTAGGTAACTGGGATGTGCCCTTGAAAGGGACACTGGCCCCTCTTCTTTCTCTCTCTTTGCTTCCCAGCTACCATGAGGTAAGCAGCTTCATCTGTCATATGCAGATGTCAGTTTAGTTGACCTAAGCCAGCTTAAAAAAAAAAAGTCTAATAAAATATAAAAAAGAATAAAATACAAAATATCATGGTGCATTACTCATTGCAAGAGCAAATGTTACTATATGAAGTTTTCTGTCACATATGTGTCTACTTATGTATGTCACTATGTATATAAAATGTTGAATATATTTCTCACCAGAGAAGAGGCCAGGAAAGTTTGAAAGCTATCAGCATAAGAATTCAGACAAAAATATGATTGAATTTTTTTTTAAAAATCAAGAATAATAATGCCTACGTTATAGGGTTAAAGTTTAAAAAAGCTGATAAATATGTATTTCTCAGGACTGTTCAATATTTACTGAACTACAGTTGGTCAAAGAAGTTTTAAGAGTCACTAAATGAACAGTTCTTCCTACGACTTCTGCATCTCAGCTCCTAGGCATTCCCACTCTGAAATTCTGGAGAAGCATCTGTGAAGTCCTTCCTTCCTCTGGCTCCTGTTACTTAATTCCTACCCTTTCTCAATTAATGGGCTAACCCTGCTTTGTCTTCTCCTCAGTCTGTTACACAATCAAGTGGCTTAAAAAGCAGCTCAGGAGTAAATGGAAGACTTGAGAAATCACAAAAACCGAAAGGTCAAAAAATCAACAAAGTATCTATTCAGAAGCACACCAAGTAATTAGAAAAAACATTAAGTCAGATGAGCTGAAATCAGTGGAGAATGATGAGGTAGCCCCCTCCTGCAGTGAGCTACTTCCCACAGCCACACGTGGAAGAACACACGCACACACACAGACAGGCTTCAGAGACCAGGTAGTCACTGGAGGGCAAGAATAGGATGGGCATGGCCTAGACCTGCCTGGCTTCATGGAGCTTAAGCTGGCTGAGAGAAAGGGAGTCCTGTCAGAACCCATCAGGTAAGGCACAGCGCTACTCGGTGAGACCTGGCAGATTTGATGTGGCCTGCTGGACAAAATCACAGCATGTTAGGGTGGGTGACTGCGACTGATAATAAGACCGGTTTCAACTGAGCAGGGGGGAGGCGCAAAAAGGAGAAGACACAGAAGATAACAACAGTCCAAGGCCAGTCCACGAGGATTAGCCTGTAACTGTGCTGAACACAGTGAGCTCCGACAGCCACCCGAGTTGGTCTTCATAGCATTTCTAAGATGGGAGTCACAAGCCAACAATGAATTGAGAGATTTCACACAAAATCCACATTTCCCTACCATCTTTTGCCTAAGTGGAGATCCGGCCACCATGGACTAGGGCTGAGTAGTGGGCCCAGGTCACAACCACAAGTCCTTACCTCAAATGTCTCATATCTGCTTTATTTTTGTAACTGGACCAGCCCACATGTGCTAAAATGCATGCTATTTTGAACTTTCAGAGAGTGGGTGGAACACAGCAAGTCATTCAATCACTATTTCTACGAGAACATACATTCTGAACTCCAGACTACAAATAAATCTTTAACATTACCTCTTTTTCCATAGCCATTCTAAATCTGAAGATTGTCACCTTTTCTTTTTCTCAGTATCTTCTATTTAGTTTGGCTCAAAGAGCTCTTCAATGTCACAGGTGTTAACAGGGCTCACCATACTCCTCTTAAGTTGTGGCCTTCTAATAACAGACAATTCACAAGTTTTGAAACTTGACTTTTTTGACATTTGTTTTGGTTTTGATTCCAAATTTCAATTTTTCATGTGAGACCATTTGGAAAAGGGAAAGAGAACCATGGAGCGCCTTGTCACCACCTTTTTTCTTTGTGGTACTGGGCACTCTACCATTCAGCCACACCTCCAACCCTGCTCTAAGTTGCCCAGGCTGGCCTCAAACTTGCAACTCTCCTGCCTCAGCCTCCCAAGTGGCTGGGATCACTGGTGTGTGCCACTTCACCTGGCCATATCTCCCACTGTTAATTAAAGGTGCTGTTACTGTATGAGAAACTTTTTTCCTGGCTTTTTACAGTGAATCCTTATTTATTAAGCATTAGTTACATGTACGAATGTAAAGCAAATTTTGGATTTTAGTTTGGGGATAAGTAACTTGTTATTTAATAGATGGAGCAAATCAACCCAAAATAGTTACTGGATTTAGGCCCCAAATTTAGGCCTATGTTAAAACATCGAACCACTGTAAATCTGTATGTTTTGTTTCTATGGCCACAGAAGACATGTTCCAGCAGATGGGGCTAGAAATCTATACAAGATTCTTACACTAACAGCACCACATGCTCTGAAAAAATTTTTTATTCATACACTATTACTGAAGAAAAAATAGTATATGATCACAACCTTATTTCTATTTTACTATTATTCTTGGATAAACTTTTATTTGGTCTTTGTCCTTGGCTCCTGGCATAGAGCTCCTAAACCCTGGTAATTTCCCAAGGGATACCGGGTGATAGGAACATTTTTTGTTGTAATATTTGGTATCTGCCTTGGGTTTTTGGCACACAGCTTCCAAATCCCCTGAAGATTCTCAAGGATAGGTACACCTTTTGTTCCAATAAGGTGATTCTTGGTGGGCTCTGGGATAGCTTCAGGATGGGGACTGGTTGCCAGAAACAACAAACCTTGAATAGAAGCTTGGAACTTTCAGGCCCTCCTCTCTAATTCAGTGAACCTCTTCACCTGGATGTTCATGAGTCTTAGTAAATTATCTAAATTGTTTCCCCTGAGTTCTGGAGCAATTCTAGCAAACTCCAAACTCAAGAAGGTAGACATGGGAACCCGATTTATAACCTGGGATTTGGGGCTGGTGTCTGAAGTGGGAGGCAGTTCTACCAGACTGAATTCATTCTTACTAACTCCATACAGGGTCACAACTGAAATGAATTGTAAGACATCTTACTAGCATCTAGAGAATTGGAGAATTCATCGATGGAGGAAAAACGCCTCATATTTTGTTGTCAGAAGTACTGTGAGGCCTGGTGTTACACACCTGTAATCCCAGCAGCTTGGGAAGCTGAGGCAGGAGCATCCTGAGTTCAAAGCCAGCCTCAGCAAAATTGAAGCACTAAGCAACTCAGTGAGATCCTGTCACTTAATAAAATACAAAATAGGGCTGGGGATGTGGCTCAGTGATTGAGTGCCCCTGAGTTCAATTCCCGGTCCCCCCCCACCCCCCAAAAATACTGTGACTATAAACAGACTGTACTTAATAAGGAAAATATGCATTTTTATTGCTACACACTGAAGGTAGATCAAAGTTACAAAATACAGATACAAATACAGATATAAATTATATTACTAGTAAATGCTTTAGTGGGCTGGGGTTGTGGCTCAGTGGTAGAGTGCCTGCCTAGCACATGCGAGGCCCTGGGTTTGATCCTCAGCACCACATAAAAATAAACAAATAAAATAAAGGTATTGTGTCCAATAACAACTAAAAAATAAATCTTAAAAAATGCTTTATCTTATAAACTTTTTGGCTACAACCTATAATGAGAAATCAGATTATATACTCAATACATATATGTACATAAAACCAATAACTGCCACAGAAACTTCATAAATCAGTTATTTTTCTTTATCATAGCAAATGCATTCCGGTATTTTCTACGCTATTCCTTTTTCTGTAAAAAGTTAATTTTATAACATGCTATGAGGTCAGTCTGAAAAACACTAATGGGTGTTCCATCATTCTCCCTCTAATGTCAGTCTCCATACTGCTCAGGCCAGTGAGTCTCACCCTCTGGCATTCTGCTCCTGAAAGACAAGACATGCTCAAGAGCACTGCCATTGCTCTTCTGCTGAATTATAAGCCATACTCAGCTATCACAGCAGGTTATGATTTCCATAAATGAGACCAGGTAGAGATTTAATTCCAATCTGGAAGGTGACTGAAACCTCAGGCAATTCCAAATACTTGCTCTAGAGCAAGTGTGGGAACAAGAGGAAGCGAACATACTTCCTGACACTAAGCAGAGGCCTTGCTCTGTCTCAGTCAAAGGTGATGGAAAGGGTTGCCCTGTAACAAAGAAGGTCACCAGTCCTATGACATTCACAGGAAAATGGAATAGCCCTCAACTTGGGGCAGAAAAAAAGTAAGCCTTGTGTCCTAGGGACAGACTACTTAGTCATGCCTGAAGACCGATCTTCCTGTGAAAGGTAAAATACTCAGAAAACAACAAAGCTCCACACTTATACTACTTCAGATCACTTCGAAATATAATATTTTATCTTTATTTTCCTTACCAAATGGGCTTAAATGGAAACTCAAAATTTAAAAGCAACACACTCTGGTTTTGCGAAACTCCTAATGAAGCCACTATTACATAACACAATGTGGCCTCTGAAAAGACCCACAAAATAAACACCATTTCTATTAAGACATCATCTATTTATATCTACCTCCCTCCATGCAACCACAACTCAGATGAAAAGAAATGTACAACCCCCGATGATTGCCTCTGTTTTAATTACTGGATGTCTCAAAACTAAATGCTCAAATAGATTGTTCTTACTAAGTCTCTGATAAAATGTCTCTGTTCACATTAAATGTTTGCTTTTAAATTTGAATGTTTTTATTATCTCATTTGAAACTGTGTTGAATTTTTAAAATTCAAATCCTTTTGTGGAAAGAAACAGGAAAAAAGAAAATCCTAAAGAAAAATAAAAAATGGAATTCAGGATAACGGCTTCTAAATCTAAGGACAGCCTAAGGAAACGGAGCCTCATTGGGGGTTCACAATGAGTAATGATAAAAAAGGCGACACCTTCAACCGCATCAGCTTCTTCACAAGAAACTCAATGCACTGTGCTGGTACACCTGACAAGAGACAAAATGAGTTGCTCTTCCTCTGGGATCTTCCATTCAGGTTTTGATCCTTAGTGTCATCTCTGTCCCCTGAATGCTCAAATTCCCAGACCAACCCAAGCTCTTGGAAGAAGAGAGGTGTGAGAGCAGCTTCTGCACACATGACTGTCCTTTACATTTTGGGTGTAGAGAAAAAAAAAAAAAAAAAAAAAAAAACCAAGAACCAAAACAAAAAACAATCAATAAACTCATAATGACATCATCTGATGATTAGACATGCAGGGACTGTGAGCTGCATAGTAAAAATACACACATACACACACAAACTGAACATGCTCAGAATTGAACATGCTTAGAATCAAAATTTGAAGACAGACATTCTAACCTGCTTTTTAGTAGCTTCAGAAGATCTAATCAGGTTTTAAATATTTACATTTTTTTAAGTTTTTGAAATAGGTATTACTACATTGCCTAGGCTGGCATCAAACTCTTGGGCTCAAGTGATTGTCGATCCTCCTGCCACAACCTCCCAAGTAGCTAGGACTATAGGCCTGTGCTACTAGGCCCAACTCGATATTCCTGTTTTTTTTTTTGGCAGGGGCAGGGTAGTGGGGATTGAACTCAGAGGCACTCGACCACTGAACCAGATCCCCCCCTATTTTGTATTCTATGTATAAACAGGGTCTCACTGAGTTGCTTAGCACTTCACTTTTGCTGAGGCTGGCTTTGAACTTTTTTTTTTTTAATATTTATTACTTGTCGATAGACCTTTATTTTCTTTACTTATTCATGGGCGGTGCTGAGAATCGAATCCAGTGCCTCACATGGGATAGGAAAGCATACTATATATCGCTGAGTTAGAACTCCAGCCCTGGCTTTGAACTCTTGATCCTTCTGCCTCAGTTTACAGAGCCACTGGGATTACACTGTGCCCGGCTCTATTTTTAATGTTGATGACTATTGACATTAAAGATTTCATTACCTCTTTTCCATGCTTTCCAACTTAACAAACATTAAGTACAAGGCATAGTTCTTGGTATTACGCAAAACACAAAGGTCAAAAAAAGTGTCTAATCCTGACCTTAACTGTTTATCACTTAGAGGAGAAATGCAAATTGCTGCTAAAAAATTCCCAGAAACCTCTTAGCAGTGAGTAAAACACCCTCTTGAACCTTCAGAAGGTAAAAAAGAGAAAACCCTCTTGCTCCTTGCTTTTTGAGTTCACCTTGCCACATCATTGCACCACCTGTCTGCATAGTTACACCTTTTAAATAAGATGAAGAATTTCCAGATTGGTTTTTTGAAAAAATAGATGTTTTTTGTAGTCCCATTCTCAGATTGGAATTAATGCTGTTTTCCAAAGGCCAATAACTTTTTCTTAGGCCAATAATTAACCCTTTCATAAACTATATTTTTATCTTTTATTGCCTATATTTTGTCATTATGGATATCATAAATTCTTTTTAAGATTTTGACTCTGTTTGGATTAATTAGGCTTCAAAGATCTTAAAAGAAATTCTGAGTTGGTTGCCAGCTCTCTTGCATTAGGGGCAAGGCTGCATTGCAACACATGCTCTTTTAGAGAATAAGCAATGAGTGATAAACACAAGTGCCAGAGCCACACTGGGTTTACCTCACTCACAGACAGAACTGGAAGGTTGGTCCGGGATGGCTGCCTGGTCCTGGATGCTTTCAGTGGTCTCTTGATCTGTGGAAAGTCTTGCTTTGGAACAACTGTTTCAGTTGAAGTAGATGAACAATGCCTCTTTAATATTTTTATAAACCACTTAGAACCCAATAGATTAGGTTTGTGGGTCCCCTTCCTGTGAGCAGGATACGATTTCATGGATGGAAGACCTGCTTTCTCATGCTGGCAATATACAGTATTTAATGGACAGAGTTTGGTTATATCTGATATTTTCCAGTTCATTTCCAGGATCTGGGGCTCATTCAAACCACCAGCTGCTGCAACAGGAAAGAATGAATCCAAGTTTTGGTGTACCGTCAGGGGGTTGCTGCATATTTTATCCTCAAGTTCCTTGAGCGGTTTTAACGTTAGATGAACAAATCTTCGGCACTGATGTACTTTTGATAATACACTGTGGGATCTGGCCAGGGCTCTGAGAAGTCTGGCAGGCATTACCACATCCCACGCTGAAAGAAAAAGATTTCAGATTTCAAGTTGGTTTTGTTTCCTTAGTGTTTTAAAATTATATGTAGGTATAATTTCTCTATGAAATAAGCTTATTTATTTTAAAATCTGTGAAACAGAAAATCTTAACCTAATTATAATAGAACAACAAGTTTAAAAAATATACACATGTGTATGGCTGGAGTATAGCTCAGTGGTCGAACACTTGCCAGCCACCTAAGGCCCTGGTTCAACCCCTAGCACTGGAGAAAATAAGTACACATGGAACATTATGAGATTAAAAAATTACTAACACACACACACAAACAATTTTCTTAATTTACTTCAATAGCATTTCATTTAAAAGAATCCATACTTACAAATTCATTTTAAAAAAGAAAAAAAAAAGCTGGGTGCAGTGGTGCATACCTGTAATCTCAGAGATTTGGGAGGCTAAGGATTGCAAGTTCAAAGAGAGCCTTGCAATTTAGCGAGGCCCTAAGCAACTCAGTGAGACCACGTCTGTAAATAAAAATTGTTTTTAAAGGGTTGGGGGTGGTGGGGTATAGCTCAGTTGGTAGAGTGCTTGCTTTGCTTGTACAAGGCCCTAAGTTGATTCCCAGCACCACAAAAACAAGAAAAAAAAAACAGAAAATGGGTTGGGATTGTGGCTCAGTGGTAGTACACTAGCCTAGCATGTGTGAGGCACTGGGTTTGATTCTCAGCACTACGTACAAATAAATAAAATAAAGCTCCATCAACACCAAAAGAAAAAGGTGTGTGTGTGTGGGGGGGGCTTGGGTATGTGGCTCAGTGGTTAAGCGCCCCTGGGTTTAATCCTTGGTACCAAAACCAAAACAAACAAACAAACAAAACTTTTATTCAACCTTACAGTGAGATAAGCAACTGGCTGAGGCCAAGGATGTCTCCACGAATGGATGAGTGTGTCCCTGCCATCAAGGTGCTCCCCTCTCCTGGAGGAGACGGGCATTTTCATCTGCTCACCATAATTTCATAGAATAAACCCCACCACTGAGCTGTGGTCCAGACGTCAAGGAAACACACAAGGAACTCGCTCAATTCTACATGCAGAACTGGGAGAGGCCCCCAGAAAAACTGAAGCTGCTTCTTGAAACAGAAGATGCTTTTTAGGTTGGAGCTGGGCCTGACAGGGGGGGTCAGACATGTCAGATGTACAGAGTCCAAACAAAGGAAAGAGACTATACAGATGTAAGTATTTTCCCCTCTTATTTACAGTATTAAATGTGTGTTCTTTTTTCCCCAGTGCTGAGGATGGAATCCAGTGCTTTTGCACATGCTAAATAAGCACTGTACCACTGAGCACACTGACAGCCTCTAAATATGTGTTCTTTCAAAAGTAAGCCTATGGATCAATAACAGTTCTTAAAAGAAAAAAAAGTCAGGTGTTACAGACTCAAGTATGGACCATGACTTCAGAATTCACAGTCCAGCACAGGACACAGAGTGTGATGTGCAAACACTACAGGGTCTGGAGAAGGGAGTGTGTGGGATGAGAAGCAGTGTGGCACAATCACTATGGGGACATCTGAACTGGGTCTTGAAAGGGCAGAGGGATCAGCAAATCAAACAGACCAGGTACAATGTATTATTTATCTGACAAATAGAGTGTAACTTCAGGGGAGGGAGCAGGGAGCTGAAGGAGAAGAGGACAGAAAAGGAGCCAGAAGCAGATTCCAAGAGGATTTATTAGGTGATCCTATGGAGTTTCTTTTTCTTTTCTTTTCTTTTCTTTTTCTTTTTCTTTTTTTTTTGGAGGTTTGAACCCAGGGGCACTTAACCACTGAACAACATCCTTAGCCCTTTTTTATATTTTAGAGACCTCACTGAGTTGCGTAGGCCTCGATAAATTGCTGAAGCTGACTTTGAACTTGCAATCCTCCTGCCTCAGCCTCCCTGGAGGCTGGGAATATAGGTGTGCCCCACCATGCCAGGCCATCCTATGGAGTATCTTTGGACAGAGGGAAACCAGAACTTTTAATTGAGATCCACAGGTCAGATGTGTTTCAGAAAAATGTCTTTGGTAAAAAAGCAAAGGAGTTACTGAGACAGACTAAGACATTACTTTCTACATATCAAGTGCTCTATGTTATCTTACAATAACCCAATGAAGCATTTTACAGATGAGAAAACTGGGGTTCACAGAAGTTAATTGGTTAGCAAGTCACTACGCTGTATTGCCTCCCTCAAGAAAAATAGGGACAATTATGAATCACAGTGATGTTTATGAGGGAGAACCTGCTGCTTTCAAATATCTTCAAAAGTTGTTATTCTGTTAGTTTTCCTCAAATTAGGTAATATAGTTCTCCTTTAATTAGTACTATCCCCTGCTAGTATAATAAGTACATTTTGGAGAAACTATAAAACATTTTAGAAATCTGTACACAGAACTGGATTCTTTCACTGTCTCTGATCACATTCTTTACCTCCACATTCTAACTGTTTTAATTTATGGGAGCTATGTGAAACCCTCCACAAATGTAAAAGCTACAGGACAAAGGAGAAGTATGTTTTCTCTGTAGCTTTGCTGAGAAAGACACAGATTTCCGCCCCCCCCCCACACAAATTTTAGGCATTGCTAAAAACCAGAATGCATTAGAGGTAAGTAAAATTTGAATTGCATGAACTAAAGATAAAAAAAGTATACCAGATTTAAAAATTTACCCTAACATTACAAAAGCACATAATAATAAATTATATACATTATATTATTCTAACTCTTGGTGGCTTCTGTTACCTGTGCAGGTCAGCAGTGAAAATGAGCCTTCTAATGCCCTGGCCTCTGAGCTCTGACCTCTTTTCCTGGGTGACCTTGTTTTCCACTCTCACCCAGCTGTTCACTCCCACAATCACATGTTCTGATCTATTCAGTGGCACCCAGCCAGCACATGTGTCTACTAAGTAACTGAAATGAGGCTAGTATAGACTCAGACTTCATTTTAAAAAAGGAAAATGTCTCGATAATTTTTATATTGTCTACTTGTTGACATAATACTTTTTGATATAGTTGGCTAAATAAAATACGTTGTTAAATTGTTATTTATTTTTACTATTGTCAATGCAGTTTCTAGAATGCTTAGGATTTGTGGCATACATTTTTCTCTTGGACAGGGCCCTCTAAATCTGCTACCATCCCTGAGTGCAACCTTGTGTCATTCCCAATTTCACCCAGTGGACTCTCCAAACACTACCACCTATCTTCGCAGCTCACCTATCTTCTACTTCCCATGGTCAACAATTCTCTCAACCCAACAGGACCTACATTTAGATGACCCACCCACCTTTTCATTGTTTCTCATTCCCCTAACATCACTTCCTCTACACCTAGCTTATATGTTCCACAGCCTACCAGTATAATCTCTTTCCTACCCCGTGAAACCCGTGTGTCCCCCGCCACATGCATATGACATAACCACAACTAATTAAACATAACTCACCTAATTTGTGCTTGCACTCCTGCAGCTGAATGTTCTTAGACCAAACAACACACTGTCCTCTCTCACTCTAAAACCAGGACCACTCCAGGGGGTCCTTTCCGTGCTGCCCAACAATTTTACATCTCCCAACTGTAATCTACTCTCCACACTTGCCTCAAAATTTCAAGTCTCCCCCTTCTTTCTCATTCTCAATAATGACTTACCTCTTCTTTCACTGATAAAATAGAAATGACCAAAAGGGAACTTCCACAAGACAAACCCGAAGCCATCATCGACCTGCCTACCCACTGCTTCTTTTCTTTGACAGAGCCAAGTCCTCCACAACTACATAGAAACTCATCCTTTTCCATGACAGAGCCAAGTCCTTTCCTATGACAGAGCCGAGTCCACCACAAATACACAGAATCTCATCCTTTCCCACTTTTCTCCCCTCTCTCCCATGCCTTATTTTCCCTTTCACTAGAACATTCTATATATCTGTGCTATAATTTCTCCCACTTAAAAAAAAAAAATTAACTCTCCCCTGATCCCATTTTCCCCTTGCACACTTTTTCTGAGTTCCTTTCCTATACCTCTAAAAGGAGTTTTATTCATTGTCTCCAATTCTTCTTCTCTGTTTTCTTTCAAACTCACTCCATTTGGGCTTTCATCCCTACCACTTTATCCAAATTCACCTGTTAATGTCGTCAAAGACCTTCACCTTCCTAAATTCTTTGCTCATTTCCTTTACCTGACATATCAAGCATTTGATGCAGTTGGTCACTCCACCCTCCTTAAAGCACCTTCTTCAGTTGGTGTCTAGAATTCTACACTGGCAGTTTTCCTTCTTCCTCATTGACTGCATCTTCTATTTTTTCCCGGTTTTTCATCCCTCAAGAATGGAATGCACCAGGGCTCAGTCTCTAGGCTACTTTTTTCCCCAATCCCACTCTTGCAGTTTTATACATCATATAAATATTGGTGGACAACAACTGTTTACTCTAAACCACTCTGATAAGCAACAAAAATGTAACATGTTCAAAACTGAGCTTCTGAAATCTTCCCACAGTCTTCCCCATTCACAAATAGCAATTCTTACATTTGCTAAAACCCAAAACCTTGAGTTGGCCTTGATTCCTCCCTTCATTCTCCATACCCAGTCTGTCAGTAATTCCAACTGGCCTTATTCAAAGCAGTTCTCACCACTGATACTGTTACCATCTGGTCTAAGTTACTATCTTTCCCACATATTATTTTAATAGCCTCTTCCCAACCCCTTTCTATGCCAAGAATTTAACCCAGGGCCTCCTCACATACTCTAGGCAAGTGCTCTACTACTAACCTACATCACAACCAATAAGAGCCTCTTACCTGGTCTCCCAGCTTCTGTCCATGGCCTCCTATAGATTCTTCTCACACACCAATGAAAGTGATCCTTTGAGAAGCAGGACCACATCTTTTCTCAGTGCAAAATTTGATGATGGCTTCACATTTCTTTTACAATAAATGCTCCAAACTCTTAAAATGGTCTTCAAATACCCACATTTTCTGGCTCTTCACCACCCCTCTGACATTTCCTACATCTCTTGCCCTACAGCTCTGCTCCTCATCTTGGCCTTTGGATCTTCACACTAATTGTTCCCTAAGCTCTTCTCCCAGGAATCTATAAGCCTAGCTCCCTTATCCCCTTCAAATATTTCCCATCTAGCAAAGCCTTCCTCCAGACACTTCATTCAATACACACAATTGGCACCATTTCTGATTTCCTTCACTTTCTATTTCTCCATTTTATTTATCATTACTTGCATATCTTGTATTTTTAGTTTATTAATTCAAAAAAGAAATGTGAACTGAGTTCTCACCAAGTGCCAGGTATTGTGCTAGGTGCTTATAATACAACTGAAAATAAAAGACAAAAATCCCTTTTGAACCTTATTATTTTGCGAGGGGGCAAACAATAAATGTGGCAAATCAGTAAAATATACATCAGTGACAATGCTAAAGGGAAAATAAAACAGGAAATACTTCTGTCTCCTCTAAAATGTTAATCTCCATGAAACATATTTTTGTGTTTGTTCATGTTGTATCTCCTGTGACAATAATGCCTAGACATAGGCATCAGCTGATTTTTAAAAAAATGAAATACCAGACATATACTCAGTTCATGGGCACATTTTTACTTTTTAAGAACAATAACAGCAATTAACAAAACGTTAACAGGTAGGTTACGATTCAATGCATAAGTAGCACTCATCTTTGGGAGTATGCCTTTATATTCCTTGAATGCAAAACTACCCTATGCTCTAGCTTAAAACTGGGGTCAACAAGTGTTTGCTGACTTAGAGTGCTTTTTATTCCTAGCTAAGTCCACCGATGATCACTGTAAGAGGCAGGGCAACCTCGCGGTACTGACGAAACCTGTTATCACCCGGGAGGCTTCGGGGATCCAGGGGCCAAGGTAGAGACCTCGGTGCCGGGCCACACAGGTGCTAAGGAAAGGCAGTGTACTAACCTCTCCGGGAAAAGAGGAAAGCGCCAAGGGCGCGAACTTCCGCAGCAGGGCCACAAGGCAAAGCACAGTCACCCGGCAGCCGCCGTGCACACCGCCAACCCTGGTCCCGGGAAAGCTCTTCCTCCCAGAGCGCGTACTGCGCAAGCGTACAGAACTGCGGGCCCGCGGCGTGCGAGCGTCCCGGGCCACGTGATCGCCGGACCACGTGACTCGCGCCGCCGCGACCTCTTCCGCTCCCTAGGCCCTGGGACTCCCGGTCCTTGCCTGCTTCCGCCTTCCGCCCGCTTCCTGATTCCGCTCCACTCGTTGCCCTCCGCTGTTGTCGCCTTCGTCCCCGGAAGATCTCTGCGTCCTCGAGCCAGCCATTGTTTGCCACTTGTCCGGGCACCAAATAAAGTTTTTTCGTTCAAAAGCACTTTTTTTTTTTTTTTAAGCTGCAGCTCACGCTTTCTCAGCTCCTCCTTCGCTCTTCCTGCCATCGGCGAAACCCGAGCGTTGGGGCCGGTAACGCCGGACGGGATGGCTGAGGCTCCGGCGTCTCTCTCGGGACAGGACGTAGGGTTCGTCTCGCTTTTCTCCTGCCCACTTTTGAGGCGAGCCAGGCCTAGCCGGGAACGTGTGGGTAACGAGCGGAGGGTGCGCGCTGCCCCGAGGCTGCGAGTTCAAGTCCCGCCGCGGGGAACCACGTCCCAGGGCGCCTTCTGGGGTCCCGCGGACTCGCGTGGGGCGGGAGGCCGCCGCCAGCTCAAGACTCGGATCCGCTGTGCAGTCTCTGTCGGTGGCCGCCGATTTATCCACTGTAATAAGTGCCCTCGTGTGTAGGGAGGGTAAAATTCTCTGTAAAAGATGGGAATCGGAGGTCTGGGGGGATGTGTGTTTAGTCCTGGCGCTGATCAAATTAACAAATAATCTCACAAACAAACAATGTGTGTACAAGTAGCTCCCCTTGGAGTAGCGGGACCCCCAGTGGACGCCTGAAAGCCGAGTCCTATATTATAGTGCTATGTTTTTTCCTACACATACCTATGGTGAAGTTTTAATTTTATAAGTTAAGTGCAGTTAGGTGATAAGCAAAAATAATAAAACATTTATTGATTTAAAATTTAGAAATTGTATTTTTGGAATTTACCATATGAATATGTTCAGAATGTATGACTACATCTGGGAAAGGAAAAGTGGATGGGGAGCAGGATTTACAGTGGTTTGGGGCTATTTAGGCAAAGCTGTGGATGAGTAATGTAACACCCATTTGCATAAATTGGGTAGCCAGGTTCCTATTTGAAATAGGTCATTCCTTCAGAATATTGCAGGAAACGGAAGACAAAGAGCTACCTGGCCAGGGAGTATATTAAAGCCAGAGAGGCACCAAGGCCCCCTCAGGGTCTTGCACATAAGGGGAGTGAGCACTTCCTTAGGAGCCTCTGGCCTCACCTGGCCAGGGACTTTATGGAGGGTGCAGACCTCTGTATGAGGAAAAGTAATAGAAAAAGAACAATACAATTAAAGTGAAGACCTTCATTTGTTTTTGAATCTGCTGCCTTAGAAAATTTGTGTCCATTGGTTTATGTTCCTTCCTCCTTTCAAAGTATTAGTGATTTTTTAAAAATTCTAATCAGAGTAATTAGTATTCATATCAGACGAAAACAATGCTTTACTATACTTGAAGCACCACAGAGTCTTAATGTGTTTTTGCAGTTTTTTTTCCCTTAAGGTTTCAGAGTTATCATTTAAGAAAACCTTTGAAGAAGTATATATTTGAAGAAGTATTTGAAGTACCTAAGCCCAATAATTTGAAAACTGGCATAAAATACTTGAATTTTCAGGAGTATAGTGATCTCAAATTAAATTTGGAGTAAATGATTTGAATAGAGGCATTCTTTTCAAAACTATCTTGTGAACTCTGTTGGTTTTACCTTGTGTTTGGTGATTTGAGATATAAACACTGCTAAGCTCTGTATTACAGATATTTAAAAAGCTGCACTGAATTTCACCACCTAATCCTGTTTTTACTCACTGAATCAAATATGTTTTCTTAAAATATAATCACATATATAATCTGTAAATCTTGGTTTCATATGTCTAAAATCAAGAATCATTTTAATTTTTTAATGCAAGTGTAAATTTTTCCTCATCTCCAGGATTCTTCATTTTTAGCATTTATGGAAAAATCTTTGATTTTTTAGCTGTATTTAGAGTAAGACGAGTAGTTCACCTTGTTTAGTGGAATAAAATGAGGAATTCTTTGTACAGATAGAGAAGGTAGTAAGAAAAACCTTTGAAAAGAATTGAAATAAGAATAGATGCATAAGTATTTTTAATTTATTCCATTCCTCAAACGTATTAGAGTCTTTAGCGCAGTTTTACCTCTGTTGCCTTATTCGTCTTTCTAAGCTGATGAAGTTAGTAAGTAGTAAGCCTGGAACTAGAGCCTCCTTGCTTTCAAAGCTAATCTTTTCCTAGCTATCTCATTGTTAAACTGGTTTCTGATTCAGGAAAAGAAAAGGATCGAAAGATAAGAAAGATTAAAACTGGAATTAGAGGCACCAGGATAATTTAGTTTCCATGACATAACAGAAGTTTTCAGATTTTCTTTTGTCAATTTAGTGGACAAACGGGTTTACTTTTTCATAATTGCATGGAAAGGAATTTTAATTTAAATCAGACACTCCAGAAGCTAAAAGATGACCTATCTTTTAGTGTTAAAGCCACTAAGTAATGTATGTGACTCTCTCTTCTAGATCATTTGCATATCTTACAATTAAAGACAGAATACCACTGATTTTAACTAAGGCTATTGATACATTGCATCGACACAAAAGTGAGTTTTTTGAGAAACATGGAGAGGTAAGAATTGTGTTTTAACTTTACTTTTTTGACAGAATGAGAGTAGGTATTGAAGATTTTTGCTTTTGTGTAAGATGTCAAAATGAATACATGGGCCAAATATTTATCTGGTTTTAATGTAATATGTTGAAATGAAGTATAATCGTGGGTCAAGCCTATCTCCAGCTTAGAAAAAAAGAGTTGATGCTCTTAACAACGTAGTCTGTCATGTATTTAGACTTTGGAACATGTTTTTAATATATGTCATGCTATAAAATAGTGATTAGGTTGTTGACTTGCACAGAAAAGCTTTTTTAATTTCAAATTTAGCTGAATTATAGAATTTATATTACTAATTTAAGTTCTTAAGTCCTGGAAGATCAGGCTGCTATGAAAAACTAAAAGTGAAGAGTAATATGAGTTCTGATTGATTATCATGATGTGATTGAAGTTGTGAAAGATTCATTGGCATTCAGAGTGAGGTAGGACTTTAGAAATCACCTTGTCCATTCTGTTAATGGTGTGGAAAATTCTAAATAACTATATTATTGGAGATAAAGGTCTTTACACTTGCAAGTCTAGTAATCATTCTTTTATATAAGAGACTGAAAGACCACACATACACCAATACATTTTTTTTTTTTTAAAGAATCGACAACAAAGATTTAAAATGATTGATGATGTTTTTCTGGGCAAATTGAAAGGAGCAAGGCAGCATACAGGCAATTTGAGTGTAATGTTGGATTTCCTTCAATCTCCTATATATTGTCTTCAGAACTAATCCTGGCATAACATAATAGAGGGCACCTATTGACCTATTGTTCTTTTTTTCTTGCTCCAATGGGAGTTGAAGGTTGAACCCAGCAAGGTTCTCTCTGAACTATATTATGAGTCCCACCCTCCTTTTCGAAACAAGATCTCTAAATTGCCTAGTCTGGCCTCCTGGGTAGCTGGGATGTGTACCCGTCTTCCCACCTCTGCCTATTGTTCTTTGTTGCTGAGACTGGTCTTGAACATTTCTGTTGATGTTCCATTGTTTATCACATAAGCACAATTTTGTTTTCTGTGGGTATATATACTTATCACTCAAGTATCATTTAACCAAATTTGGGTCATTTGCTTGAGTATTTGGTCATAGTCTTAAGCAAATTACCATAATTGTTTGGTAATTTCAATATTTTCTACCGGAGTGACCTAAAATATAATATGATTGACTCGGTACATTGCTGCTTGGCCTGTATGCTCATATCATTAGACGGTTAAGAATGAGAAAGCAGACTCTACTGTCCCTCCAGCCCTACTCTCTTTCCCTCTCCTGGATACAGGACAAAATCTAATAAAATACTAACTTAAAGTCTGTTCTTAGTAGCTTTTTTTTCCCTTCATGTCTCTTTCATACTTATAGCCACTCTTAAGTCCCATGTGTTCTCCAAGCTTCCTGAATCCCCAGCTACAGCAAAACCATGTTTGTCCCCAAAGGAGCCATGCTACAGATTTCTGCCTGTCAAAGGCTCATCCTATTATATTACCTGGTTGGCAGATATGGATCTTGTGGAAATGGGTCTAGGCTTTATTCATCTTTGGCTCTGAGCACAGAATTTGGCACATACAGGTTCAATAAATGTTTGAATTAAGTTAAAGCAAAATAACAAACTGGCATTGACACAAACATTGGTTCTTAGCTCTGACAAGTATTTGCTGCTTTAAAAAGAGGGTACTTACCCTTTAAAATCTTCAGTTTTGGGAATTTATTATTAAATAAAGATGCTAATGATTCCAGGATAGAGATTTGGAGAAAGTTAGCCATATTGGGACTTGCAGGCTTAGCTCCTAAAATTTCGTATTTTTTACAACCTTTTCTATTTCTGAACCTGAAGAGTATGTAAAGCTTCAGCCTTTTGTTCTAGCAGCAAAACAGATTTCTACTTGGAAAAAAAAAATTGACAATTGGATGTTGGGGATGTAGTTAAGAGCATTTGCCTGGCATCAGGAAGGCCCTTGTTTTGATCCCTAACACCACCACCACCAAAAAAAAAAAAAAAAAAAAAATCCTGGGGAGATGTCAGTGTTGAGTATACTGACCATTATAGGCCTAATGGTAGGGAGTGAATATAAAATCATTCAGCTAGGCTTAATGATTATTTCCTACATTTATTCTGTATGTATTTTACAAGGTTTATATATTTTTTAAAAAATTAGGCAAGAATTTTGCTGGTATAAAAGTAAAGGTGCCATGTCACTTTATTCTGATCCCATGACACTTGTCCCCTCTCCAGTTGGCTTGTTAGGTGATATAATACTGCAGTGCCTTGTCTATCAGGGTCTCTCTAACTTATCTGGAATGCAGTAGAGAACAAAGAATAAGAAAACCCTCTTGATATGCTAAGAGGGATCTCAGGAAGGCCAGAATTCCTTTTCTAGCAGTGCCACCACAAGTGTGAGAGACAGGGAACCTAGCAGTGGTGCCTCAACCTACCTGAAGATATAGAAAGCCAGAAAAAGCTGATAAATAAGGCATGATTATGTTAGTATGAGATCTACGTGTTCTCTTTGATTTTCAGCTCAAAAATTCGAAATTTAAGTGTTTACAGGAATTTGTAAAATACATAAACAACAGTTTTGAAATCAATACAGGATTTTTCTTTCCTTCTTAAATTTAGGTCCTTATCATAAAAATATACCACCCTAGAGGAATTATACACACAGGCACACACTCACTGTCATTTTTCCCCCCTCCCTCAGGAAGGCATAGAAGCTGAAAAGAAAGCTATTTCTCTTCTTTCTAAGTTACGAAATGAATTGCAAACAGATAAACCAATCATCCCTTTGGTTGAGAACTGTGTTGATACCGACATATGGAATCAGTACCTAGAATATCAACAGAGTCTTTTAAGGGAAAGTGATAGGACACCAAGTTGGTTCTACTCACCGTGGTTGTATGTAGAATGCTACATGTATCGTAGAATTCATGAAGCAATTATCCAGAGGTAAGTGTATAACTATTAAAGAGCAAATGATTAGACAGTTTGTGCTTTTTTTTTTTTAAGGGTGAAAGATAAGTTTTCAGTATAAACAAGAGATAGCCTGAATTCAGTTGAGTTCAGCAAATATTAATTTGCTGTTGGATATTTC